CTTGACCGAAGGAAGAAAATAAATCTTCATCGAAACATCTCCACATAAAAAGTTCAATTAAGCCGTGTCGTCTAGATGTTTTCTTGCATTTGGGTGTTAGTTCATCTAGTTTTATTTGCAGTTTCAAAGAAATGCTGAATTCTGTGCAGGTTAAAAAATATGTTTGCTTCTCCTCTAAAAGGCTATTAATGCAGTTACAATACAATGCAGAGTGATTGTCCTCCTGAAATTAGATGCATCGAAATGGGGGGTTAATGCTCAGTTGAACCAGATGTAAGGTACATGCTGGTCAGGACTGAAATTTAAAGGGCAACTCCGTTTAATTTAAAAAATTTTGAGATAGTGGCCGATTTTGCTTTTTGAAGCACTCAAAAACAATCCCCAATCCTTTGTTTCGCGAAAAATAAAATATTTTTCGTACAATTTTACTCTAGCCATGATCACAAACCGGAACCGAAACGGTGGCAAAGCCGGACAACATTGTGTATTCGGCATCACTAAGCATGTACACCCACGTGATATACAAGGGGAAGAAGCAGCTCCCCTCTTATCAGGATCCTCCTTTGTGCCTCCTGGATTAGCACAGGCGTCGCTATTCTCCTCCCAGAAGATTATAGAAGATTAACCTGTCACTCAAAATTCTTACAAAAGCAGCTTCCCTCTCCTCCTTTTACTTGGTGTTCAAAAGTATGCGATGTAACACAAGCCGCGCTCAACGAGGCGATCGGCTTATCAGTAGTATCAATAGTCTAGTGCCGGGCCGGCCGAGCGCGTCACTCACGTCTTTCACGGCGCTGGCGCCACCCGTGCTCTCCCCGGGAAAGAAAACAAAATTGAAAAAAAGAAAAAAAAAGAAGAAGCTGTACATGTTTGATGACGTCGCGGACGTGCCGGGAGAAGGAATTTGGAGGAAGCGGAAATGCAGCCGGGCAGTGTTGTCTGGCCCGCACGTCTCAACCAAAACCAGCGGATTCGTGCTTGTCAAACTTTGACAGCGATTTTAATGAACTTCTAGGCGGAATTTCGTCGTAATATTTGCCATGGGGGTTTGGTAGATGATAACAAAGAGAACTGTATAGTTTTGCACTACTGGAAAAGAAGCGGAGTTGCCCTTTAAGGAAAAGGATGGGCTTGTGCAACATTATGCATGCATGCCGAATACCTTACAGAGACAATGGAATTGTGGTGCTCTGGCCCAGCTTGTTTCAAGTAGTAAGCGTGACAATGGGTAGTGTCTGCATATCTATATGGATCCTATTTTGATAGCCTTCCTCCTGCTTTCGATACAAAGATGGGCTGTTGGTACCACCCCAGTGTCGGTCTAATCTCTTTGGCATACGCAAGTTGCCCCAACCTACCCAGGGGCCTGGCGCCCTTGGGGACGAAATCTGCGTTAAGATGTGTGCTCTTTTAAACGGCTGGTTACTCCTTCCATGTCGTCACCCTTTTTGTGCAGTATTTACTGTTCCATTTTCCTGTGGGCTTGTCACTGTCATAATATGGTAGAAGCGATCGTAAGTAGGAAATTGTCAACTTTTGTCAGGAATCGCATTGAGGTTGTAAACAAGTGAAAACTTGCTGGTGTTGATATTTGAAGCATCATTCACCCCTTATGAGCTTGTCAGATAGTGCTCGCAACGTACGCACTCGGCGTTCTTAGATCTGTCGGCCAACAAGCTTCACGGAAGAGCGTCGGTTGAAAACGGTTCTTCTCTGTTGCCCGCACGCGAGCAGGTACGGGTGAATAGCATTCGTCGCCACCCATGCCTCCATGGGGAGCGGAGAAGGACCGTTTTTTTTAACGATGCTCTAGTTGGCAAACTTAAGGCTTGCTATAAAAACCACATTAGAATCACTTTTCATCACAAGCAATGTGCATCTAATATTCCACTGATTACATCACTTCTGCCCATAGGGGGTGCTGATTAGGGTAGTGAATGCCACTGAGCGAACGTGCCACAAGAAGGGAGCCAGGTGCTCTAGGAAGCAGGCATGCGCCAGGGGAAAACATTTTTATTATTATTTACGGTAACTGAATAAAAATTTTACAGTTTTTAGTGCTTGATCTTTTTATAAATCTGATGTTAGTATTGATATAGCTTGTATTTTATGTTCTGAAAGTTTTTTTCAGCATCGGCATACTCATGCAGAAAAAAAATGTTCTTGTGCACACGTGGGGCATGGAAACAGACCTAAAAGAGCCTAGTAAAATAATCTAATTCGCTCCTTTTAAACAACTGGGTACAATAAACAAAAAAAAAATAGTGTGCGTGACACCTATTTTATTTTAAATTAAATAAAAATTGCAAAGACACCATTTCTGAAGGGCTAACAAAAGATTCATAATTTCTTTATAAATAGAAACAAATACACATTCCAGCCAAACTGCAATAGTTGCATTCTATATACTCTAAAGCATATGCGTGCAAAATTTGGTTATGATAGGACAATATTAACAACAAAAATTCATGGGTGCAAATCGGCAAAAATGTTTCAAATTACATACAAAAAAAAAATGTGTCAAGGAAAAAAAAATTTTTTTGTGAGAATTTGAAGCTACAGAGTACTGCTTTGGAGAGGAGACGGCTAGGCCTACTTCTCAGCATAAATGTGATGGCGGGTGACATCACAATTTGAAAAACCGTGCTCACAAAACTGGCTCAATTTTATGCCGTTCTGGGTTGCCGGGAGTTCTTGAAATGCACATGCACATCGTGGCTCTGTAGCCCGGTTCATTGGGGAAACTTGCAGCGGCGTTTAATCGTGCACCAATTCGACCTCCCCGCACAATTAGCGAGAAGCATACGTAAAATATGAAGATTAAAATACCATAAAACCCATGATCACGTTTTTTGTAGAAATATAGCCGTTTTTCGACTTGTATTAGCTGACTTTGATCTACTGGGTGACCCAAGGAGCGGCCAGGCTCTTTAAATCGACCGCAAAATTCGGTTTCTTAACCTATCGCGCTACAACTTTGTGCAGCGTTGCCCACAAATGGTGCATTTCTTTTTTTGTAAAATTTGCAAAGAGCGAACTTACCTGAGGAAAAAGTAAAGAGAGAAAAAGGCTTAGCTCCTATGGAAACGCAGCGAAGCCACCCGTCTTCAAACTATACGGCGCCAATTCGCACGGGAGACAAAAAATGGTGCAAGCGTTCGTGACGCCTACTGCCGCCAACAAACGAGAGCCGGCATTTTTAGCAGACAATCTTTACCACTCAAAAGCGACGTGCGTTCCGCAGGCAGCAACAGTCGCAGAACCAAAAACAGGCACGGTAACAGCAAGGAACTGCAAAGCAGACGACAAAAGTACCACGAAAAAAACAGTCAAAATAACCCGACAGACCATTTTTTTAATCGATTATATGTCCATTCAATATGTTTTATTAGTAAGGATGATAAAATGATGCATTGGCACCTGACATCAGAAAAGCTTGCGCCTCTTTTGAGTCGAAAAGATCGTCGGCTAAAGACGCCGGTTCTCAGCGCTGTATGCCTGTTCGTTGGCGGCAGTTGGCGTCGCGACCGCTTGCGCCGTCTCTTGTCTCCCATGCGAAACGGCGCTGTATTGTTTGAAGACTGGTGGCTTCGCTGTGTTTCCATAGGAGCTAAGCCTTTTTCTTTCTTTACTTTTTCCTCAAGTAAGTTTGCTCTTTGCAAATTTTACAAAAAAAATGCACCATCTGTGGGCAACGCTGCACAAAGTCGTAGAGCGATAAGTTAAGAAACCGAATTTTGTGGTAGATTTAAAGAGCCTGGTCGCTCGTTGGGTCACCCAGTAGTAATGTTCATATGACCTGCATTGCCACAGTTGTTTGTCACTGTTGAATACCAGTGCAAGTGCCTCGGAGCACTACTCAGATCTTAAACTGTGCGCCTGTTTTGTGAAGCTTCAAAGATAGCTGTGAATTCTGGGGCTTTTTTATTTTCTGGCTGGAAATGCAGAGTGTTGGCATCGGTGTTGCTCGTCAGGGGCTATAAACCAGGTGTTCCCAAACTTCTTCGTCCCAGGGAACCCCAGCAAGCCTCAAAAAGTCCCAAGAAACCACCCCCTACCCCTTGTTGCTGAATGATAATACTGGGCAATAGAGGCTTTAGATAGTAAACAAGAGTTTATTGCACTGACAGAATAAAGAGGCAGAGGGGTTAACCTGGGGCACAACGTAAAATATATATGTACATATCCGTGCAAAGGGTGAGGTTGCTTTGCCCGCAACACCAACTCAATTTATGGCTCAGTCCGTGGAAGGTTAAACAAGGGGGAGGACTGCAATTCGGTTGTTCTTGGAACACATGAGACCTGACTGCAGAACCCTTGCGTTTTGTGAAACCCAGTTTCAGAACCCCCGCTACAGACGCTTACTTGCGAGGACTATGCTTGGCACTGATGGTGGTCACCGTAGGGCTCCACTTTGGTTGCATGCAGTGACTGCTGTGTTCCACGTGTCTCTTTGGTAGCACAAACCTCGAAAGCTTCTAGATGAACGAGAAAATGCGGCGGATATGAGCATGTACGGTGCCATCTGCAAATAGTGGCATGAACCAGACGTTTTCATTCTTCTCGCCTGTGCACCGAAAAAACACCCTTTTCACACGTTTTTTTCTATAAATGCACGCACTTGTGAAATTTCAGTAGGATAAATGCGCCACCCAAAGTCTTCGTAAAATGTTCCATTGCACTCCAGTCATTGTCCCATTTGTACTCATTTTTTGTACAACCAAATGGTGTTGGAACTCCCCGTAGTGACATTCTTCACCACTGGCCAGCTGACCCCTCGGAACAACGTATTTTGCCGAGGCGGCCGAATTCCCAACTTTGGCGACTCGGCCTCATTCAAAGTGGCGTATAGGTTGCCGGTGTCGACGGGCCAACTTGGCACGTTCGGAGTGAGCTTAGTTAGCGGCGTACCTGAGCCGTCCCAGTGCACAACGCCCGGCGCCATCCCGGGCTCCTCCGGGACACCGCCCTTGCTGTGACCGGCTTGCCCGTGTGCCCAGAGTACTACCTGATGGACGGGGCGTCCGTCCTGCCGGTGCTCGCCCTGGACCTCCAGAAGGGCGACGTGGTCGGGGACTTCTGTGCCGCTCCGGGAGGCAAGCTCCTCGCCACGCGGTTCACCCTCTTGCCAGGTGCGTGCGCACATCCGTCTCCGGAAGGCTGGTCAGGTTTGAGATTGTTGCTGAGTTGCGAGACTGCATTCGTCCTCCGTTATGGCTCTGTAGCCCGGTTCATCGGGGATACTTGCAGCGGCGTTTAATCGTGCACTAATCCGACCTCCCCGCACAATTAGCGAGAAGCATTTTCCCTCTAAATGTGGTATGATGGGAAAACCCGAATCGGTACATTGTCTTACACCGCTTCAATTTCCCCACCAAATTCAGCGGGAAAACCCGAATTGCCGATTATTGTCGTCAAATAATAAAAGAAAAAATATTGATATTGGTCTTTTTGTTTTAAGATTTTTAAGATGTTCTAGGATTAGGGTCTTCCCTTAATTTGATTTCAGCATTCACTATATCTGCGTATTTGCCCCATCTTTTTAAGCCCGCTCAACCGACACCTGAAAGGGGGAATAAGAAATCTTAGGAACTCGCTGGTGGCAGTTTTTTGTTTGGCATATTTGCATTGCTTTTCCGCAACCGCGTTAAAATTAAGTGGGCTAAGTCCAGTCGGGGACGTGGTGCGGCATTACCCTCGAACCCACTCCATTTGCAACACCAGCACATTTCCTTTTAGCCAGGAGTGTGGCAACTGGAGGGAGTCCCGTCGAAAATTTACTCTTAATTTGACAGCATGGTCGGCGTTTGGAAATTTTTGGTCCTGCAGTCATTGAATCGAGAAAAAGGGGACGACCATCTTTCGGAATGTCGTGATAGTCGTGAGGGGGCGCTGCTCCTCGGTCTGAATCCGGGGTTGGTCACAATTGGCTGGAGTTCGTCCCTCTTGTTCCAGTCTGACCCTCTTGTTTCCAGCGCGGTGTGAGGCCTACGACCAGTCTCCCTCGAGGCTCAAGCGCCTGCAGGCGGCGGTGCAGAGCTACGTTCCGGATTCGCAGCTGGGTTCAGTGCAGATCCAGCAGAAGAACATCCTCGAGCCTAACAAGCTGGCCAAGGACTCCTTCGACAAGGTACTTGTGACTCTGTCTGTGGTGGGGGTTCTCACCCCGTTCCATCTCGAGGAACCTTTTTCCTGACTACTGACGGCCCAAAAACCCTTCCCAGTTTCGGCATTGACACTGTGGAGGCCCTCTGAACAATAATTCCCATACTGATTGGCACATAGCTACTCATCAATGGGCGATTCTGATTTTCTATACTCGTTTTCACCTCAAGAAAAAAAGTGGGTGCGTCCTTCTCAACACACGCTTATTGTTTGCGTGCCATCGCACGCATTAATTCGTTTTGGAAAGTAGTTCCGATAAAAGTTTGCTCTAGAAAAATCTAGCGTTGTTTAAGATGAAATAAATTCATATTCGTTAATAGGATAAACAGTATATCTCCTTAATATGCACGTATTCACCTAATTGATTGCCCCACAAGATCTGAAAGTAGATGTTCGGAGCCACCTCAACAGCTGCCGTCGCTCGCTTTCTAAAATGGTGACGCTTGGCTGCGCAGTTCGTGTTGTTGGCACTCACTCTCGAAGATGTTTCCCCCTCGGGTGTACTACAAATGTCACGCGAGTGGAAATGTCTTGTCGAGCCAGACTAGACAGGGCGTTACGAGCGTTTATTCTTGGATGCGGCGGCAGTACCGAGAAAAAAATGGGGTGCAAGTCGTCTAGCTGAGTGCCGACACAACAGGGATCAGTGTTAGCTCGATCTACGATATTGGGCGTGCCTTCCAGCGTGCCGAGGGAGCTGCGAAAACTCCTTGGAAGAAGCGCCCGAAATCTGCTGACAAAACGAAGAGAATTTCAAATCATGACGTGCACACGTTGACGGCCGTGAGAAGCTGCCCACACAACTTTTTGCGTCGAGGGGAAATCCCGACGCTGAAGAAAATCGTCTTCAGGAAGACGACGTGTTGCCTTCCTGTCCCGGGAGTGTCCCGTATCGTCCGCTGAAGGACCTGGGATTCGAAGGACATAAACAAAATCACAACTCCTTCCTAATCGAGCGAGAGCGCATCCTCGAGTGGAGGCGGCGGTATTTGAGGGCAGTCGGGAAGCACAGAGCCGACAACCGCAAGATCTGCTTCAAAAACGAGATTTAGGTGAACACCGGCCTCACAGTTAACGAGGTTTGGACTGGCAGCCCCATAAAGTCTGCAGGTCACGCCTTTATGTCTGGGCTGGCGACCTGGCTAAAGGCTCCTTCTGGAAAAGGTGAAAAAGTGATTGCCATTCACGCAGGTGACATTCGTGTCCGGCTGCTTGGATGTGTTCCGCGGGAAGAAAGAGAGGGGGAGCACCACGATGAAATAAACTCGAGCAGGTTTGAAGCATGGTTTCTTAATCTGCTGGACCGCATCGAGCCTAACAGCGTAATTGTTATAGATAATGTGCCGTATTACAGCAGAAAGGCTGAAGCTGTTCCCACAACGGCAACAAAGAAGGACAAGATTCAGTAGTGGCTCTCTTTCAAGAGCCAAGACTGGACTTGCACAACAAAGAAAGAAGACCTTCCAATCATTGTGGCAATGGTGAAGGATCGCTACACGAAGTACAAGGTTGACGTCGTGCCTACAGACGCCGGACACACGGTACTGAGGCTCCCACCGTACCATTGCGAACTACATCCCATAGAGTTGGTATGGGCACGAGTCAAGCGGGAGGTCGCCTCCACGAACATCAGATTCAAGCCCATTGACGCTGAGAGGCTGTTCAAGGAAGCAGTGGACAATGTAACAGCTGTCCATTGGCATGACACTGTAGAGCATGTGGAAAAAAAAAAATGGAGGTGAAGTTTTGGGAACGTGATGTCCCAAGGTTGAACCTTGAACCAGTCATCATCCCACTTGAAGCAGGCGGCACAGAGGAGGAGAGTGGAGGAGAGCAAAGCAGGCGACGAGAACGGGGTGGAGAGATCTTCAATGTTTAGCCTTTGGAATGGAATAACAATGGACTTCTGTAATGTCCCTTTATGACATGTGCTCTGCTGACAGTGGCTGAAACTTCGGACTCTGTTTGTCACACCCCAGAAAACAAAACTGTTTTTTAAGGACCATTCATATACTGCGAAATTGGATTCTCGACTTTATACACGCCTCACTTCCCGTGTCTTGTGGTGTGGTTGTGATTATACCTTTCATTAAGTAACAGCCTTGTTTGTGGCTTCTCGAAGTCATTGAAATGTGCTGTATGTACAGTAGAACCTTGCTGATACGTTTTTCAGGGGACCGCGGGAAAAAAATGTATCGTCCGGCAAAACGTAGCAACTGATAATGGTGGGGCTACAGATGTGAGGGGAAGCAATCCTTACACTGGGATTTACTTCAGAATGACTTTTGGGGGTTCGGAGAACTACCATGTTAGTTACCATATAGCTGGGCATTCTCTTTCGGCACAGTTGTTTAGAACTGGCAGTCAACCTATTCCGTATCTACCCAATTAAAGCACGACCACGATTGCTACTTTGAGGGGCAACTTTTCATATTGCTCAGTGGGGAAAATAGAACCATGAATGTTGCACGAGGCTAATAGAGAAATAAAACGGTACCTTTATTTTCCTAGAAATCATTTGCAGCACGATTTTTGGCAACTGCACTCATTCACATCGAGCAGCGACCAAGTTTTTCTCAGCTCCCGAAGTCGAAACGGGCGCCACACTGAGCCCGCCGCGTTGCCATCAGTTCCATCAAAACGTCCAACAGAAACGGAATCCTTTAAGATCCAAAATCTAAAACGCGCTAGAGACTAGCACGTTAAAACTTTGAAATCTTTGAGCTGGTTGAGCTACTTATCTTAAACGGACTCCGATTGCGCTATCGCTTGCTCGCTAGCCGCTATAGATTCGTACGGATTTGGACTTGGATTCGACTAGATAATTTGAAGAATCCAGCGGAGAGGCAGAGAGGCATACATTACCAACAGAAGACCGAAAATCCGCCGCACGGAGCCTAGGAGCATGGGTTCGGGAGCACCGAGGTGCAGATTTTGGACGTAACAACCGGGAAATCAAACGTAACAGACAGGAAACTGGTACAAGTATCTCTATGGGAGTGAAACGGGACCCGCGCTTTTGAACGTAACAGCCAGGAATACGTATCAACCGGGAACATATCAACGAGGTTCTATTGTCTTCCACTGCACCGTGAATCACCAGTGCAAAGTTTCACCCTACGAAAAAAATGTTTGCAGTTGTACTGCACTCACTAGTTTGCCCATCTACAGCAGAGGTGTCGGACGCCATTTTGACTTCCTGGTTTCTAAACCTATTTGCAGAAAATTACACTTTGAAGGAAAATGGACAGCTCTGCTTCCATCCAAGAAAGAAGACACAGTGTCGGTGTCATGCTGAAAGTGGAGCATTGTTCTGCAATTGCACTTGCTCACCTCATGCATGATCAGTGTCAGATGCACTTTATATTGGGGTCTAAACATTACGTTAAGCCCTGTCTTTCATTGAGATAGCTCCTTAGATTGCAGTGATCAGTTCTCCAGGCGGTCCGTGGGATAGTAAACTCACAAACTGCCATCCACTGCCTTGGGGCTGCTCTGGCAATATAGCGTATATCACATCCACCATGTTGCTTCACATTATAATTGGGATTCTTACCGCAATCCACGCACAGCGCCACCCGTGCAACAAGCGTAAGCTGAGATAGGATCCTGGAGGAGTGTATCTCACATCCACCTTGCTATATCTGATTATACTGAGGATTTTTAATGCCATCCACGAACCTCAAGGCCACTCTGGCAACAAGTGTAAGCTGGGCTGGGATCCCGGAAGAGCGTATCTCACATCCATCCACCATCACCACAGTGCCCAGATTGCCGGGCAGGGATTCCTCCACAGCTCTTCCATCTGTTATGAACCCTTTGAATCAACAGACCCAAAATGCCTATATGTGGTGCCTAAAAAGAGCGCAACACAGAACACCTTCGACCGATTTAATTCTGTCAAATCAAAATGCAACCATAAGGAGTGCTCCCAGTTTTGAGGGTATTTGTGTTGGCCGACTCCTTGAATTCCTGACTGTAGAGCTCCACCCTGGATCTTGATTTATCAGGTTTCTCGCCTGTAAGAATAAAAAAGGTTACCAGTTACATGTGCCCTTTTGACAACGCAACAAGGATGCCTTAAATAGGAAATATGTACGGTAAATTCTCATCAGAAAAGTACCTTAACTTTGTCTTGGCAAGCCACAGGCAAATGTTGAAGTTTTGATATGTATGGTGTTAAATGTGGTTATATAACAACAAAAACAGATGAGGCAAACTTGAGTATGCTGTAGATGGCATGCATAACAAAGGAAAGGAAAACCAGAACTTCCTTGGAAGAAGCCTACGTGCTTAGGCATACATGTCATCTATATCACTTGGACAAAAAGCACATCCTACGCAAGAAGGCAGCACGACGGAGAGCTGACCTGCACTAGTGAGGAGTGCGACATAGAACACCTGAACTTCGAAGCAGTGACCCACTGACATTGATGAAATAGCGCAGAAATCATTCATTGGCAGAGGACAAGCTGTATGCACCCGTAGGAGAGGTGTTTTGCATTCTGTAGATGCCATCAATCATTGAGCTCCTCTCCCCAAGGACAGACCAGGCAAGAAAAGCAAAATCTCAAAGCCTCAGCTCCCAGACCTCTGCATGGGCTGCCCAGCTGCCTACGCCGGGAAGGCGAAGAACACTCCAGAATGTATAGGCTGTCGCGAATACAGTGAATGCGTGGAGGGGAAAGACGTACAGGCCGGTACATTTGTTGAATACACAGTAGAATTGGGAAACTCCGTATCTGTTGAACACAAGGGATACAGAGAAGCTCTGATGGTAATTAGTGCACTTCGGATATGCATTTCAAGTTAAGTTAAAAATATTTTAACCTGTGACATTAAAACAAAACTGTTGTGACATAAAATAGGATTTGCAACAAGAAGCATAAACAAACCTTACTGCGATGACGTGAAAAACTGTAATGCCACCAGGCTATCCCACCAAGAACCTGTCCTCCTCTACGGCAAAACTGATTCTGGCATGTGCAAGAAGTCAAAGCTGGATATAAACCCCTGTAAAACGGTGCCCTATCCTGAGCATCCGGAAAATAAAATTATAAAACACACGCTGTACCACTAAAACAGTCATTGTTTCTTCAGTAATCGGCATAACGTGTTTATTTTTGTGCATGTGCCAACAGGAAATCGAACTGAACATCTTTGTTACTGCACTTAGCGTTCACCATGCACTTAGATTTTATTGCAGCACGTTGCAAAAGCACTACGCTCGAGTTCTGCTTCGAACCCCCAAAAAAAGTGGCCTGATGCGCAGCCGAATAACAAACACGGCGTGAGGTACCGCTGGCCCACGGGACATCAGTAAACAGTTGGTACGGCTGTGTTACCAATCAATGGCATGCTCTTCGATAAAGTTAGAAAAAAAGAGTACAGAGGGCCGTGTCGATAACAGCATGCTGCAAACTTCGCCAGTGCAAAATGCGTACCCATGGAACGTAAGAGAACAAATTACGGAGTAAAAATTGAAAGTCACCGCCATACGCAAGGAAACCGATTCTCCACGTAATAACATAAACGAAGGTATATTACGACAGAATGAACTATACAGACTTACGTTCGTGGCATGGAGCAGATCAGATCAATCCCAGTTCATCAAATCTGTGGCAATGTCGATGATGTTAACTGATCTTTTTGCTTTAGCGCTTCATGGTTGCCGTTAAAGACTGTCAGTATGCTAAAACACACAACGATTTTTTTCCTCATTGTGTCTTGAGAAAGCCGATGATACAAAAATATGTTTATTGGAAACAGTTTAAAGAAGCGACGTAAAATTGGGCGTAACGTAAGCTTGCTTATCGGCTCTTTGCCACTAGAGAATGTTGCTCTGCTAAGTTGGTTTTGGTTTCGGTCTTTAATTGTAGATCCCACCACCTTCTGATGAAGAGTGGCGAAGTCTACGCGATGTCACGCCTTTTCATTGGTGGAAAGCCAGAACACTCCGCCACTGGCTGCACTTGCTTTACTTCGGTTCTTGAAATGAAAACGTGTGTACTAGAATAGTGTTTCAACAGGAAAAATGCTTTCCAGAGTGTGGAGAGGGTCGAAGAAATTTGCTGGCTCGGGGAACCCGGCTTGAGAGCCCTAGGTGCGTGAAGGACCAGCGTTCTAGATTTAGTGCATAAAAATATGCTTGCCACTGCTATGTGGAGGCACAGGCAGGCCACCTCTTCCCACGGCGGGAGTGATCGACCACATTGTTGGCCTTTTGTCTCTCTGCGCTGTGTTGCACTTTGTACATATCAATGTATGTGGCTCCATAAATTGCATTTCACACTCTTGACTCAATGTATGCTGTGCCCTATACTGTTCCATGTTCTAGTGAATATATTCAGTTTAGTGAACTTTCTGTTAAGTGAACCAGGTATTTCCTTAGGTCTCTTAAAGTTTGCTCAAGTGAGGGTATACTGTATCTTCGCTACGGTAAAGTTTTCTAAATTAAACTGCGGCTATTACGCGAGAGGAAATGTTAGGCCAAGATGTGCCAACAACTAGCGTTCATCGTTCCTGATTTTTTTTTTTTTGTTGAATTTCAAATTTAGAAAAAAACATTGGCATATTACCCTGATTTATTCATCTCCTCAATTAGGTGTAGCCGGGCATCTCGATAGGTATAACTTTATGTCGAATGCTTCGTTCACTTTCCATCTCGACGTAGGCATTGGACTTCCCCGAGGCCAAGGTCCACTAAATATGTTGAATAAAATTAGCTTAGAAATGGACAAGTGGAAGCTTGGGAATTAGAAACTTTGCGAGTTCAACTGGATTTTCGCTTAAAGGGGCCCTGCAATCATATTTAAGCGTCTATCTTTTTTGCAGTTTCCACGACTCGTGGGGTTCGGGCAAGCCAGCGGGCACGGAAAGTGTGACTAAATGTCAGTGCGTCATATTTTAACTGGACGACGCGGAAAACTCCTCCATCGACGAGGGCGACCCGCGGTACCGAAAGCGCGCAAAATGTGACGTCTTTGGTCTTGGGTTTACTACTGGTCAGAGCCGCTAAAAGCTTCTTTTTAGTCAAAATGCAAAATATAAGTGGCGCGAACCGTTTCAATTATTTGTAAAAGTAGTTTTTGTTCAGTATTTTAGATCAGAAAAGAAACAAATGCAGTTTATAAAGTACGGAAACAAGAAATGACCCGTCGACATACCCGCCACCAAGCGGTGGAAAAGGCGGTGCATACTAGAAAAGAGTAGTGGGATCAGGCGCCGACACGGAAAGGTCCCGGATGTGCACGGCGGCGCTGCGGTCGTATGAACAGGAGGATCCGCCCGGCTCCGAGCGTTCCGAAGGCCTTCGGAGAGAAGCTTTGTCTTGCGTTTTGACCGTTTCGCGGTATGGCAGCGCGAAGTGGCTCTCATTCTGAACTGATCTTTACCCCGTGTTTGATGTCGTTTGTGGCCAATGAAGTGTCATGCCGAATTAGTGTTTAATCGCGCAGCAAATGCAGTGAGAGCCGCTCTGGCCACCCGCTGCGTACAGCCTATCCAGAACATGCTTTAGTGGCGCCCTCTCGCGCCGTCGACACGGAGTGCGGCAGCCGTGAGCGCTCGATGAGCTCACTATCCCTCCTCTGGTTCACGGCCACTCAAGCAACCAAGGACGTCATGAGGGAGGTTATTTTTTGCTTGTTTTTGTCATTTTAATTTGCCTATAACTTTTAAAATAAAGCGAATTTTGAGAAAAGAAACGTTTCACCAAGTTACTACGTTCAGTGCGCTCAGATTCGGTGCAAATTAAAAACTGGTAAAAAAGCCCTTGCAGGGCCCCTTTAAGCATGGTGCAGTAGTGAAAGGATTCAACATTTGATTAGAAAATATTCAATTAAAGCCTCTTCGAATCTAAAATCTAACATTCGCACATTCCTACGGTACATAGATCTCTCGAGTGAAACCAAAAAAAAATGTGCTTTCAACGTTTGTTAAAAAGTCTCCGACGACCGTAGCAGAGAGCAGAAGCCCGGATCAAATGATCACTTCCTTTTTCCCCTCGCAGCCACTTCGTAGTTTTGAGCGTGTTTGTATTATTATTTGGAATCTCGCATGGGAATGTTTGAACTGTTTTCTCCTCCGCCATTGGGGATGCTCGTTGAGCAATGTTGGAGTTGCCTTTGCCTCTACTTCCCTTCCCCAATTGGAGGAAAAGAATTGGAGCTTGGTCTTGCCCCGAACAGATTCTGTTGGACGTGCCCTGCTCCAACGACCGCCACTCTCTGGAAGAGGATGACAACAACCTGTTCAGCCCCAAGCGCATGGAGGAGCGTCTGGCCCTGCCCCAGAAGCAGATGCACATGCTCTGGTGGGTGGGCCCTGCACTGTGGCGGCCGCCCCCGCACACGCGGGTAATACAGAGCGCAAGTTTGTCTGCTTCTTTTCCAGGAGTTGTGGTGACGTCAGAACGCCGATCTCTGATTTGCTCTGGTTGAAGAATAGTGGGTGGATCTCAAGGTAGGTGGCTTTGAAATCTACCCACTATTCTTCAATCAGAGTTCGGCGTTCTGACGTCACCACAACTCCTGCAAAAGCGGCAGACAAACTTGCGCTACGCATACATACGCATTTACCTCGTTCAAGAACGGAAGTCTTTGCGAGTTGCGCCTTAGCAGACGAGAGTTAGACCCGTCTGCAGAAAGGAACAAGGCCGTGGGAGGACACTACCCAAAAGGGTGAATATTTGGACCTGCAGCTTAATATGAATTAAATTTACCGTACATACTGGCAGTTGCAAGATAGAATGCAGTGCAAAGTTTCATCTGTGCACGTGAATTGCGAAAGAAATTATGGTCGTTTTTATTTTATTTTATTAAATTTATTAATTTATTTTATGCTGACGTTGCGCCGAAAAATTGACAAAATTTTTTGCCTTCTATGTTGTCGACAAAATCTGAACATTTTTTGTAAAAGACATCCACAAACTAAAAAAAACTTTGCCACAATTGCATTGCCCATTCAATTCCAGGTAGGAAAAATAATGACTAAGCCTTTCCTTTTATCCCATTACGAAACAATAGTTTTCATAAAGTGAAATTTATTCCAGAAAGTGGAACAGAGCAAAATTTGTTCAAAGTGCTCGAGCCTGTCCCTTTTTGTTTTTAGCATCGGTGGACAGAAAATAATTTATAGAAAAAATAACTTTGTGGTGAAAACAAATGAAAATTTTTCGGAATACTCTATAGATATTGGGGGATGTAGATAAGGCATTTTTAGAATTCATCATTTTTTGCAGAATTTTTTTTTTCCTGGGTAGTGTTCCCCTTTAATCTATGCTAGTATTGCGACAAATATTAATGCCGTTGATCCAGAGACTAAATAACTGAGGAATTTTGTTTTTATTTTTGTAATTATTTCCACATTTATTTCACCCGCATTTAGTTTCCTAAAAGAGGTGATAAGGCTTATTGTCGAAAGCTACCATCATATAGATCCTGGGAATTTTATCCAGTCTGACCAGGGGGTTTATTTGAGATAGCTGGTACATATTGGGGATGAGTCAGCTTGAACTTTAAAGGGAAGCTGAAGCAGTTTTGTATTTGAGGAAAAGCACCTAAATCGTTTTCATTTGGCCTCCAAGATCACGAATATCGAGATTATTTTTCAATTTGGTGCACGGAGGCCGCAGAAATTAAATTTGAAAGTACCGCCAAAGCCCTTCCTCCCCGGAGCTTAACGTCATACGAGGAGTTTTCGAAATCCCTGCTCTCGCGCTTCTTCAGCGCCTGTCAAAGCCATGGACGCACACTCTCGCTATTTTTAAAAGGGTCAAAAACAGACGTCACGACTGGCGTCACTGGAAAAATATACCTGGCAAGCTTGATATCGCATGTGCTGCCCACACAAGCGACATGCGCTTGGCAGCCCCAAGATCCTAATATGGTGTCACGACGTTAGTTACATCCCCGTGGAAAAAGTTCAGTTACATCCTCGGGAAAATGATGTCATATTCAGATTCATGGGATAAAAATACGCCAGAATTCACGTCTAACTCAATTCTTTCAAAAAGTGTTTCAGCTTTCCTTTAAGTATGGGCTGGGGAAGCTTGGGCAGAGGTTGCGGGCGGCGCAGCTTCCCGCGAGTCACCGCTGCGGTGGGTTTGTGCAGCAATGCCCTGCAGTGCCTGCTCCCGGGAGGCAGCCTGGTGTACAGCACGTGCTCCCTGTCGCCGATCCAGAACGACGGGGTGGTCCACATGGCGCTGCAGCAGCTGTGGGAGACGACCCCGCTAGAGTTTGCCGTGGTGGACCTGTCGTCGGCCCTGCGGCCCCTGGAGGGCACCTTCCGCTTCTTTGGGGGCAGCCGCTACGGTTGCCTGGCCCTGCCCTACCTGCCCAACAACTTTGGCCCCTTGTACGTGGCCAAGATCGAGCGCGTGCGCTGATGACGCTTCGGTCCCCACTCCAAAGTTAACGACGGTCTCGGCGGCACCTTTACGGAGGGCCGTGCCACAGACGCGTGACGCCGGTGGGCCAAGCACCTCTGCTTTGGACTACGTCCCGAAAAATGGGTGCGGCATCGGTGTCCATTACGCGAAGGACCGATTGGCCTCGAAGACGCCACGAGTGTTGGGAGCATTCACCGGTGGCCATAGTTGTGCGCTCTGCAGCCCGTGGCGACTGTCAGCGTTTGCCAGATTTTTCGCACCGTCGAACTGTTGTTTGTGGCAGACAACATCTTGATGACGACAATGTGTAAATACCTCCTGTGGTACTGCGTCAAAGTGCCAGCGTGTGCACACAAACCAAAACGTAGCCGCATTTTAATGCTCGCTCTCGTGACGGGAGGTCTAGAGACCAGTTCTTGCCGAACCCACGGGTGCGGGTTCTCGTTAAAAGACGCTTCAAATTTTCTCTTCCCGGTGCATCGCTAGATTTGCCAAACCTCCACCTCACGACTTTGACTAACGGAGCGTGCGTATCAACTAGAGTCGTTCGTGCAAGCTCACGTACCCAGAGACTAGTGTGTCGTTCGTCGAGTTACTCTTGTAAGGGAGGAGCTGCTTCTGTGAAGGAGGAGCCTGGTTTCAGACCTCACGTCTCTGCGCGACTGTCGGCTCGTGAAGGGAGCGGAGGCATCGCGGTGCCGACATCGCGGTGCTAGCATCACGGTGCCTTTCCGGTGGTTTCCTCTTGGAATGGGGCACTAGAAGCTCTTCTCATTTACAAAAAGAGCAGTGCCATTTGGCTCCACTGCTACAGTCTGGCATACTGCATGCATCGGGGTACGGCCAACTGTTTGTGAATGCCAAATTCGTGCCGTTCATTGTGCAAAGAGAATAAATCACCATTGAACCTAAATTCTGTTGTATAATCATACCCGTCTTTTATCTGTTATGGTGAGAGACATCGTCCTGATGTCCCCGGCGTTCACTGGAAATAGCATTGAGACGGCCGTGGCATTTTCTGGATGCTATTCTAAGGTCGCATCAAGGGTGTGTGGTGCCTAGCGTTGACCGTTCGCCCCTTGGCTGTAACTCCCTCATTAGTGTTTCCTCTTTCGCAAGTCTTCTCTTTCTCTCTCTGTTTGGCGCATTATGCACAATTGACTCGTTTTCCCGAAGACAAGTTTCTGCACGCTGGTGTTGCTTCTGTGGGCAAATGTGCTTGTTCTCAAACATGGAGTTGGCGTACCACACCCTCATTAGATTAATATTTCTTCGGGATTTCTCCATGGATCGGCTGGTTTTGTTTGTGGTTGCACTAAATAGTTTTAATATCTGGAATATGGTTAAACAACTATAAGTTTGCCTAGGTGTGTTACGTGCACTATTTGCAACCCCCACCACTAGCTCCTTTTCCTCGTTTCTGTTTCATGCTTTAGCCACCGGGTTGTGCCAGTTTTGGGTGTGCGTTCCTGTAAATGAAATTTTCCTGTTTCTGTTTTTCATGTGCATGCATTACTAGTTGCACCCATGCATCACTAGATGGTATCCCCTCATTTTAATTTTTATAACTTGCAAAGGCAAATTATTTTGGTGGGGCTGGGAACCGATTTTCGGATTTCTTCATTATCAGTGAGGTATGCTAACCACTGCACTAACCTATCCCTTCGATCAGTATAGTTTACTCATCTGCATATTTGCACTAATTCCTTTTTAGAGACCATGAAAAAAGGATGAAAATGACTCGCGATATATTCCACGTGACTCTTGACTCTTGCGAATGATGATTCAATGTTTCTGAAGCCCATAAATTAGAAAGCATGCGTGTGCACATGGTGGGACAGAGAATGAGAGGATTTCTGGAATACAAGGATCACATACCATGTGCCAGAAAGTAACGTACCACATTTCACATTGCGGAATGCGCTTTCCGAACACTCGAACAGTGTTGCAGAATGGGCACCCCCATTCCATTCCAGTTCCATTCTGGGGACATAGAGTTTCCCACAATTCCATTCCTTTAAACTCCTCAGAATGGGGAAAGTGGGCCAATCCTCACTCTTTAAATAGCTCCAACTCCCCATCCCTCTAACTTCTAAATGCGAAGGAATAGTCATTGACAGCCATATTGTGTTACTGGAGAAAAGCAGCATAAACCTGCTCACGTTATCAAATGCATAGACGACTGCAAGTGTACGCAAAAGCTCCTAAAAGCTCTCATTCTATTGAGCCAAAAGATGGTCGCACAAAGCTCTTCATGGCACTTGGTGTCAGTGTAGACATCAATTGTGCAATCATGCGTAAAAGGCTTGCGAGTTGCAACAGGCACCAAAAATTAAAACCACTAATTTTCTTTGCAAATGGACCTATACCCTCCACAGATACATGGTTAGCGTGTTGTTTGTTTCACAAGGCCTTAAATTGTCTACTTTGTGCATGGCACAAGAAGAAGCCATCTTGCTCTTCTTCAAATACTTGCACAACATCACCACTATACTTTGTTTCAGCTTCGGTCCGAGCGCGGCCGATGTTATGAGCCGAAGGGCCAATCAAACAGCGCAAAAAGCGCAGCGTCATGGCGTGCTCTCTGCGCTTGATAGGAGAAGCCGGCGGAGGAGCACACATAGAGAGACTGCGAATACCGGCTGGTCCTATCAACTGCTAAGAGCACGCCATGACGTTGGGCCTCTTTCGTTGTTTGATTGACCATTCGGCTCATAACATTGGGCGCGCTCGGACCGAAGCTGAAACAAAGTATAGTGCGCTGTTAGAAGTGACGCCCCGTATACAAGCCCCAAATCTCCATGCATTGTGGAAAGAACAGAAAACCGCTGACAAAACGCAATCGGTATACAACACCAGCACAAGGCACCATATTATGGAGCCTGCTTTAAAACGTAAACTTTTATGTTTACTATATGATTCTTGCGATTTCTTAACATATTCAATTCTTTATTTATGTTTCACGCAAACACTAGAAGATCGGCTGGTTAAAAGCAGGGAGTCGAACTGGTCTTTCTTCTGATTCGGGTTCGGGTTCAGTAGCTTTGCATTTTGTACCAGTTCGGTTCTGGTTTATATATGTTTTTAAAATAATGATTCGGTTACCGGTTTCAGCAAACAAGAGCCAGTTCAAACCGGTTCTTAAAAAAAAAAGTTCACAGCTTCCATTCGTTAAAAATAAAAGGTAGTTCAACACGGTAACATCTGCATTTAGAAAAATTAGGTCATCAGAAGCCGTGCTGCAAAACGAGGACAGCAAATCAAATATATCCTTAAAGTCGTTTTGTGATCTTGAATTTTAACGCATACACCGTTCTATCAAAAATATGTGGTATACAGGGGCTTGGAAACGGTACTAGGGTACAGCACTCGCATGTGAAGTCAATTAGCCAGCATGCACAGTGACATTGTGGCAGTAGCATGCACCATACTCGCAGACTACCCACAAATATCAAATTAGTTGTGAGTTGTTTAGACAACAGGAGTTTAGTCTGTCAGAGTATGGTTACATTGTTACCCACTGTAGATGAGAAATTTAGCCAGTGCGGTATGACTGCTAGCCTAGGGTCTTTTACAGGCATCACAGTACTGATACGCGACTGCATGCCGGTACGATGCTCATCCAGATCGAAGCGTCAAACTACCCCTACCGTATGCCCTAACGGCTTTCTTGAACAACTGAGTTGAGGAGAAAGACGGCAAAGGTTGGTCAAAAGATTATTAGAACAGAGAAGGACATAAAAAAGAATGGCCGACTTGCTGTTTCTAGAAAATGCACGCACAAAACTTGTTTCCTCAAGCCACGTCCAGGGCTCTGGGCGGCTGGCGACCGGCACCGCAGTGTCGCGGCTTCGCCTCTTGGTGCCTCCAGATTTCGCCACTGCGAAACAAATGCACCGACAGCCGTCAACTTTTTGTTTTTATTTTAATGTTTGTGTTTGCTTCACATAGACGTGAAATATACTTATTTGTTTCATTATTTTAAGCTGTCTTCATTTCGGCACAGCTGTTTGTGTAGTCGAAACTGAGGCGCCAATGCCATTGTCGCAAATATTTATTTACTTCGAGCCACCTGCTGGAAGGCACGGCTCACATTTTCTTATGCCAAACCATTTCCAATGAGATTATGGTTCCGTTCCGGTTCGGGTTTAATTTCAAATGTTTGATTTTGGTTAGTTTTGTTCTGGTTCAATTAAAATTAGCGATTTTGCTCCGGTTTTCTGTTCAGGTTTGGTACAACACCCTGGTTAAAAGCTACATGCTATTCGCATATAGTTACAACAGCCGCTTTTTCGCGTCTCGCGGCACCACGAACGACACGTTCTTCGTCTACAACTATTCAGTTTTGGTTGCTTCACTGAAGTCGCGCCATTTTCATCCTCGAAGGAGCATAAGCCAGTGAGACGAAGCTGGTGGTCACCTCCAGTGTGATGATGCTTTTTCAATAGCCACTTGCCACACTCTAGCGAATTGCGCCATCAGACTGTAGGCCATAGATGAAAATCGACACAGCTTGCAAAAGAACTGTGCATATTCTATTCCTACTTCATTCTGGACAAAAGGCATCTAATTCCATTCCCATTCTATTCCAGGGTCGCGAAAATGCAGAATGATTCCGGAATCATTCCAACTCCGGAGTGGCAACTCCGCAACACTGCACCCGACTGAATACATTCCATTTTGGTGTATTCGTAACACAGGAAACGCCGAATGACATGGCAGGGTAGTGTTGTGGTTAGCACACTTCACCATAATTGAGGGGGCCAGGCACAGAGCTGGACTTAATTGGAACATTTATCTCGTTCAATTACTATGGTTAACTTCTCTGCATATTTTGACTAGCACATATTTTGTGGAGACCACAAAGACAATGAGAATGGTCCACGATGGCTTATATTCGCTAACATTTACAGTGACCGTTTCGTTTCACTTTTATACAGCTCATGGAGGCGGTTCAGGGGCCTGCCATTTATATTGTATGTTTGCATAACACATGTTTTATGTGAAAGGATAGACTGACTCTCACTGCTATTTGAAAGCGAATGGCATTACATTACCAGAGCACAGAGAATATTGTTTTTTTGCGTCTCAGGGTCAGACATTTGCTCGTAATGGAATCGTTAATTTGGTGTATAAGGTATTTACGAGCACATAGAACCGTGTTTTTCTTGCCGTAGGAATTAATTACTCATCGCTTAATCTCCACCCAAACTTAGCGCTAACAGTTGGGACTGGCTGCTAAGGTTTCAGAGCTGGACATTATCTAATTAAAAAATTACAAGCAACCTTCTCAAATTTATAAGGAGAAAATAGGGCTCATTTGTTCTAAATTGACCTTTTCGTAAATACCAGTGCCACCAGTGAATGTTCTGGAATTATGACATTCATGGAAGTGCAGTAGAAGGTGTTTGAGCACTTTGACCACATTTTCTCTGTTCCACTTGCAGGCATAAATCTTCTAGGCATACCGAGAGACTTAATATTTGCAGCTTATGTGCCGAAATTGTTACGGTTACTATTAACTTCGATTAGCCGGTTACAATGAACCTGGATTTTGCATTTTCATGTTCCTTTACTATGAAAAATTGTAATCTGCAAAACTTGATAAATGTAAAAAAAAAAATATATATATATTTTTATTTGAAAAATTTATATTTTCTGATTATTTTTATTTTATGTTCATGTATAATGGAAATTTATATTTATTCATTTTTCCATTTATAAATGGAAATTTATAAATTTTTATTTATAATGGAATAATATATTATTTACTAATGAAAATTTATTTTCATAGTAACCGGCAACAGGTATTCCAGTATGCGTCCCACCAGAAAAATATGTGCTTATCAAGAGCGTTTCTCAACGATAGATTCATCGAGCAGATTCCATGCAAAGCTATGCTTTACTTCATTCTGGGGCTATTGTACCTTATAAAATTGGTTCGCAGGGCTGAACTTTGCATGCCCGCTTTCTATATGGCTACAAACAACACATGCGAATATCATGCCGATTGAGTGAGCGGTTCAAAAGTTAGCATTCCCAGGTAGTGTCCCCCCTTCGAAAGAAGTACAAATATGTATTTCACAGGGGATCTTGAATCAGGGCGCAGTCGAAGGCTCGGACAATCACGAGCACCCCTGCTACAGACGGAACATCTTGTCATTCGCTCGGTTGGGTTAGCCGATGAAAGAACACGACGAATGACACGATGTCGAGCTTTTCACGCTCGTTGGCTCTTCGCGTCGCCTGTGCTTTGAGCTAAGATGAAACCAAGTGTAGAGATTGCTCGTCAATCGCGCTGGCCCCGTCGTCACCTGAATTTTCAGACAGTGTTGGAGGTGTCGGGAGCTAAAAGTCGCGCGAAAAATTAGCAAAATAGGGGAATGGCAGCTGGTGTAATAGGAAAGACCGAGGACAGTTTACTCCCGATAATATATCTGCTGCTCGGCTCTCTGCCGCGGCTGGAGTGTACCGTGCTGGCGCAATGGCTGGCGCCGCTCCCGTGAACCTTGGCAGCTAGAGTTCCTGTATAGCTATTGGCAGCCTCACAGCAGCGCCGCGCATCGAGCTTCCCCGCTTTGCGCGGGAGTGCTAGGAGCAGCGGTTGACACGGGAGACGGGTTGCACGATTGGCTCGGAAATTTATGCTCGGCACTTGTACCGGTCAACCTTCTTTGGTCTGGACTGTAGGTTGACGTCTAATTAAGGAAATAAGAATAAAACGAGCTGTGCCAAGAAAGCTGAAAAAACGCGGGTCTATATTTGAATAAATCGCTAATCGGGGTAGCTCCGGTCCTGCAGTCAATCGGAAGGGCTGTGAACTTTAACTCGACTCCGCTTCGAACGCCGCGAAAACCTAGTGTCACCTTTAAAGCGCAAATGTACGAGTAATGTTTCCCATATTCGTGGGTGTTTCTTTTCGCAGTTTTTGGTATTAGAATCTTGAGTTTGGTGTATAAGACTCGGTGAGACGTATATTTATTTATATACTTTTTAGGGGATATGGTGATTGTTGCTGACATTAGATAAATTATATTTACGGGCTAAATCAACTATCGAGTGTAAAACGGGCCCGAGAGCGGCTTACTGAAGTGTTGCGCTATGCTTCATTTTTCGACCATGTTTAAATAAACAGTTTAAATGGAAGCTTCTCTGAGCCTATATCTAAAAGAAAAACTTTTGCGTCCCATTCATTATTGCTGCGAAATACTTCAATATCAAAGACGAACCGTCCGTCATTACCAAATACCAACTCCTTTAGCGATGCAATTAAATGTTCGACGCGCTATCAGTCGCGTCACCACCAACCCCTCTTTCGCCGCCTGTGCGAGTCTTGCCCCTGCCCAAGGAGGCTAACATTACGTGCAGGCATCCCCTCTTCCCGTGTGTAACAAGTAACCAACAACAGCATCCGCTCCCGTCAGTGGCTGCTCCGAGCTAATAGTTTGCCTGCTACAGAAGGTCAAATGCCGTTTCCATCACTGCTAGTGGTTATGCGGCGAATTTGTACTACCAATTTTATAGAGTACATGCCCTTCAGCCTAATTACTCGTCCGTAATGTTAGCCAAATAATTGATTGCAAGGTTTCCCCGCCCTGTTTTAGAGACACGGAATATAATATGATGCTTTATTCCCGGGTTACCCGCTACACACACGTACATACAAAAAAAAAAAAGGCGCAATAAATATCTCGACCCTGCCTCTTGCAAACGAGCCCTTTTGCGGGGTCTTGCGGGGCATATTTTCGGTGGTATTTCATCGATAAAAGGCGTCGCACGAATGTTTACCTCGCGCACGAACAGGCTCGATGTCCGGCCCTATGACGCCAGATTGCGCTGGTGATCGAGCGGCTCCTCCGAAACCGAAACTGGCGAAAGTAAACCGCGCTTTGACCCGGAAGTTTGGAAAGCAGCGCCCAGACGCCACTTCCGCCAGCAGGCGCCACCATAAACAACGTCGCGGGTGGCGAGGAGGGCCGAGGAGGAGGGGGGCGGGCGGCCGAGAACGTAAACATGGCGACAGAGCATACCGGAGGCCGGAGGTCTCCTCCCCCTCGACGGGCTTTCCTATGACGTCAGCGCTCAAGGTTGTTTGTAAATCCGAGGTATTTTTTCGCGACGAGGGTTACCCTGCCACCGTTGGCTGCGTCGCGCGGCCGTGTTATGGGTTTGCCCGCTGCCGTCCGTGTGGCCCGCCGTGAATCATCATGTGAAGTGGTCGCTGTCGGCCCCGCAGCGCACGGGCCCGCCGCCGATGCCACGTCGAGGAGGCCAGCCCAGCATTCGTCGTAGGCAAGTAGGCAGCCCAAGGTCCCTTCGGCGTGGCTGCGTGGCCGCGGCCCCTCGGGCCCCGCACAGCTGGCTCGGCCGGGGCCCGGACCCCCGCCTGATGGGGCCGTGCGGCCGCTCTCCGAACGCGGATCGGGCGCACCTCATGATCCCCGCAACAATCTGCCCGCGAGCCAGCCGCAATCGCCTCGCGATGGGGTTACATAAGGCCCCCTCCGCCTGGCACGCGGCGATTTTGCGGCCGATGGCCCAGAGGCGAGGAGGTGTGTGTGTGTGTGTGCCCAGAGGCAGGAAACCGCTGCCCGGTCCCGTGGTCTGGCCGTGCTCGCGAGTGTCCGAGTCGCCAACGGGGCCCCGATAGGGTTGTGGTGGGCGCCGGAATTCTGGTTGCCCGCTGTCCGCGCTCTCCCCCGCCTTCGAACGGGAGCAGGTGACCCAGCTGGCTCCGCACATGCTCGCGGGCCCTTTCCCCGCCAGCAGCACGCTACGTGCGCCTCGGAACCTGTGGCCAACCCACCAAATGAGAGTGGGAAATGTGCTCTCACGCTGCGCTGTCCGTGGTGCTGCTGGCCGTCTGGCGGTTTCCAGGAGCTTATGATCTCGCCCCCATTCCTCAGAAATAAGGCTGAACAATTATTTTTTTTTTTTTTTTTTACCACCTGATTACAAAATTGCTTTCAGCTGGGGCAGAAGCCTCCGGGAAGGTGCGCATACCACTCCTATGTAGTAGTGATCGTGATGTTTATTTTTCATTAGAAGAAGTGTTAAAGCTGCAGGAAAAAAAATAAAAGCTTCAGTACCAAACTTGACGAGCCTTAGCTGAGCCCCATCGGCAATGGCATTAAACATTATGTGCTGTTCGAGCAACATATATAATACAAAAAACAAAAAAAACATTACATTATTACACAAATAAAGATAACAACTTGACTTATTACAGAAAGATGTCTTTATTAGAAGTTGGCATCTCGATGCCAACTTCTAATAAAGAACGCTACATGTTGTTGAAAGTCGAAAGATGTCCGTCCTTGTCCGTCCTTTCTGTTTATTCTTTCTGTAATAAGTCATCAAAACCAACGCGCTCACGTTTAACTATAAAGATAACAACAATAATTAAATATGCAATCAATATCATATGTCAGGTATTCAAGAAGAGTGTAACTGTTTAATGGAATGCAAGTCAAGGTTTGCACCTCTGTCTCTTTTGAGGAACATTGAAATTGTACAGGTTGTCTCAGAAAAAACAATTTACAGTGTTTTTTTTTTTCCGCAGAAATAAACCATGCATGGCCGAATGCTCACTCTTTGCTGAAAGGTAGTGCTAGAGGTCCAAACCAGATCCCAAAGCTTCGGCACGTGCCAATATTTTCTCAAAAGTTTAAAGTTATTTTCTGAAAATTTTGAAGAGAAAGTGGGGCCAAATTTCTGCCCGTTTTCGGTTTCTTGCGCCATGGAGCACCATGTATTCGAGAGCTCCATGGGCCACCAATTTCCCATTCACAATTTCAGAAAATCATAACTTTTGAATAAGATATTGGTTCATGCTGAAACTTTGGCACGTGGTTCGGACCTCTACTGCTACCTTTGGGCGAAGTATGAGCATTCGGCGATGCATTGTTTATTTTTGGGGTGAAAAATACCCTGTAAATTTTTTTGCGGGGGACACCCTGTATATTTAACCGTTGGTTAATAATTTGATCGGCACTGAGGAACCTTCCAGTGATGGGTCAGGTACATATGGTATAATTTTGTTCCATGCAGTTCCGTTGAAATTGAAGTTGCATTTTTTATACCATACACCAATTAAACTTGGTTATGTCATGCCGCGGTGGTGGCAGAAGCTGCCATGCAGGCCAAACATTGCTGTGTTGTTTTGGAAGAAACCAGACTAACAACTGGAGCTGCACCAAAAGAGCCGGGAAATGTGTCGAGATAGCTTTGTCGTATTTTCTGTCTGACCGATTCGTCCGAGAATGTGGATAGGTGTCGTGAAAAGGCAAAGCCAGATGCCATCGGAGCACAATTGCTTATGCGGGAAGCACCGAGTTAAATTTGCAAAGATTTCCAATCATCAGATTTATTTGTTTTGTTCCAACGTGAACATGGGAAAACCGTCAAGTTGTCCAGGCCAGCCGCAGACCACGTTCAGTGTGTCTTTGCATTCAAAATGTCTGCTCATTCAATCGACAAATGCCCGTAGCCCACACATTGACGCAGTAACTGCAATAGAAGTAAGTGCGGGTCTCAAAAAAACACATACAGAAGGATGTTGATCATTTTTACCGGTGGCCTTTGCCGACTTGTTATGCCTGATTCACATGGTGTGATTCTGTTTGCGATTTTTAGTATCGACGTTGAGCATCGGTGCTACCTGTTACACTTCTTCTGTAGCCTGAGCGACATCGTGACTGAAAATAGTAAGCAGAATATCAACAAATGAATCAGGCATTAGTGTCTATTCTGCATTGTCCACACGGAATTACTCGCAGCATGTTGCACTATTCATGCGAAGTTTTGGGTTGTAACGACCCTCAACGATTTCCCTGAGGAAACTAAAGTAGTCGGGCATTGCTGGGAAAACATAGAATCAACATGCCCAGCGCGAGAAAGCACGGGGACCGACAACATCGCATTCCAATGATTTGTCGATGGAAGTCTGTGCGCTTACCCCTACCACTTCGCGGCACCAGTGGCGTCCACTAGGGGCATTGCGGTCAGTTTGTAAACGTGTTGGTGTATAGATGCTAAGTCTATTATTTGCAAATTATTGAACATTGTCTCGGTGTGAGAATTGTGAGGGGGCATTGTAGATAGCTAATACATTAGAAGTAAGTTAGTCCCAGTTGAATTTCTGATGTCAAGTGTCTGTGCAATATATCTTCTTTATTTTTATATTTTAATTTAAGAAACACTGCAGATGGTGTTTCTTTATCCAAGCTGGAGAGGATTACACAAAGTTTGAAACAGTTGATTTAAAACAGTAAATGCTCCGAACATGTGAGCAGTTGGAGGGCAGCAAATTTCATTCGTCGATCGTCCGCACAAAGAGTTATTATTTAAAGGACTTATTTATAGTCTAACATTTTCCGAGTGGTTCAGTCTTGCTCAGTGCTGGGGAGATAGTGAAACATACAGATCTTTGTCTAAGCCAAATTCAATATTGATGATTTTATAAAAAAAAATTTTATCTTGCAGCCTGAATCTACTTGAGGGCACATTTATGTATCATGTTGGATACCGAAGAGAGCCACCTAAAATCTTTAAAAAAATTATTTGTACACTTGGTCGCTAAATCCTCTCAACTTTTTCTATAACTGGCCGAATTCAATTTTTATTTGCTAAAAGTTTCACCGACCTGTCGCGAAGTCCCAATTTCCGTTTTAAAAGACGCAACTTTTTGTAAGCCTTAGAATTAAGTTATACTGTCTAAGTGAGAGTTCCAGGTCAACTTGGAATCACAGGCTTGAGTTGAGCTAGGTGGTGCATTATACTAGGATTGGGCCAGCTTCATGTTCAAGGAGCTGGCCCTATCCTAGCAACTTGGAATGTATGGTTAGGCCCGGATATTTTACCTTATTCACAAAGTGAATGAATTTGTCTCGTACATGACATGTAAACCTAAGGGGGTATTTCCTATGTGTTATCGTGAGGGCCGATGTTTTGGAGCAATGCAGAGCGCAAGTTCGTCCGCTTCTTTTGAAGGGTTGTGGTGACGTCGGAATGCCAATCTCTGATTTGCTCTCATTGAAGGATAGTGGGTAGACCTCAAAGCTAGTCTACCCGCAATCCTTTATTCAAAGACAATTGGAGCTCAACGTTCTGACATCACCACAACCCCTACAGAAGAAGAAACAAACTTGCGCTCCGTATTGATAACCATTTGCCACCTCTCGCACCATTCAACAACTTTACAAAAGTGTTCATTCAGCGGCACTTGGTCCATTGAGTTAGTAACAATTTCGGATATAGCACAATCATCAGCAAATATTTTCACAGTCACATTCAAATCAAGGTTCTCGGCAATATCATTAACATGCATCAAGGACAAAAGCGTTCCTTACACCAAACTCTGGGGCACTCCAGCCTACACATCAAGATTTGACGACTGTCAACCATTATTCCATATTGGAAGACAAAGAACAATGCTAACACACTGCAACTTGCTTAGTAGTAAATGATGTTGTACATACTCTATCAACAAGCTTTAGATAGATATAGAAATATTGCATCTGTGTATTTTCTCGTTAATCGCAAGGGCGAAGTCGTGCACGACTGAAAGTAGGTGAGTTGTTGTAGACAGTTCCTTTCTAAACCCAGGTTGCACCTGGCAGATATATTATGCGATTCCAAAAACAAAGTTTTGTGATTGGTGAAGAGATGTGCAATCGAGCATGGCACGTAAATTAATCCATACAATACCGCTCGAGTGTACAGTACAGGGCATATCTACAGAGTGTATGCACGACCTCTAGTCGGTCATAAAAAGGGCCGTATAAATACGAATGGAGCGTGAGGAACTTTTCATAAAGGTGCCTTTATCTGGTGCATTTACCAAACTCTACTTATGATCCGTGTAGATTTGAAGAACAGAGTTCAAGGAAGGAAGAATGTGTCCTTCATATACACAGGCAAATCAAGGCACCTGGTTAACGCTCTCACTCACGGGTGACACCACCAGGTATCCTCGTGACACTGCGTTGAGATATGGGAGACATTATTAAAGTGCTAGTGGAACAAAACCACACACTTCTTGGTCATGTTAAGATTGTGTCGCAGCGTTGACGTAAAAGAAAGTAATTGAAACATACCTGGCGTTGAGTGCAATGCACTTGTGCAGTCACTGTTAATCATTCTTGACCATCATGCATGTGGTCTGTACTAGAGGCAAAGGCTGCTCGGTGCACTTTTACATAACCCCAATCAGCAGTCACGCATTGAGGTGACTGAGACGCTTGTCTATCACCTTTCTCCTGTTTTCTTCTAATATATTTTCAAGTTTCCTTCCAGTCTTGGCATTTAAACATCATAATTAATGTGCACTAGCTTGCCTGCACAATTACCATTTTTTAAATCAATTTTATCTGTTTTGCTGGTTGTAAAACTTACTTTTGATGGTTTCTATCATTTTTACTGAATGAAAATGTTTCCTAGACTATTTATTGCTCCCCAAACATTGGGACTTCTGCGTCGTCGTCGGAATTCTTAGCAGTTCATGAATCTGGTCATCTGATGTCACAGAACTGGTAGTGGCACATGAGATCTAGCATGGCACGTTAGAGAACTGGTGGTGTTGCGTGAGAAGGAAGCGCAAGTCTGAGCGACGGCGTCCCCGCAGGGCTGGAGCTGAAGGGGCACCATGAGCAGCCCCGAGGGCCCGGTGGAGGGGCCCCCATGGCCCCGCAATCCGCTGGCCAAGCGCAAGATGTCGGTGGTGCACGGCCCCCTGGTACCCCGCCCCCCGCCCAGCCCGCCCCTGGGGAGTCCGCCCCCCTGCCCTGGGCAGCTGAGCATGCCCAGCACTGTCTACGGCAGTCCGGGCCGCAGGCTGGAGGATACCCTGGCCGGACTGCGGCTGGCCCCACCCAGGGAAACCGTCGTGGTCAGGGCCCCCAGGGCCACGCCCAAGCCCAAGGTGCCTCTCCTGCCGCCTCTTTGCGGTTCTGTGCGAGTTGGGTGCCAGTCAGCTGTGTCTTCGTCTTGGCACGGAAGGGTCCGGGGGTCCAACCTTGTCTGAGAGCGTTCTCGGCTGCTGATTGCACGTTGCGTAGTAGCTTCTAGCTGGATGTGCGTAATCAAATAATGAGAAAATTTTGAGCCATTTGCGAGTTCACGATTGGGCAATATCTCGATGAGCACGCCTCACTAATGCACAATTAGCGAGAGAGGACTACCTCCCTTCATCGGTCCGTGTCAGCTCGGACACAACAGCAGAACAACTTGAGATTCGCAAAAGAAGTGTGGTATGTTGATGGCTTCTGGCGTGAAGTAGCAGACAATCTCAATTTCGGCTCGCGTCCTATCTCGCTATGTCGCAGCGTTCAGTTCGTAGCCGACAAATTAACCTTTTTTTTTTCCGGTTTGTTAGCAGATGATGAACGGTGTTTCCTCATTTTATTTCCATCTGTGAATGATGGTTTGTACCAGATGAACTGCATTCTTCGCTCGCGTTAGCAGATGAGTCATCTACAAACGCTATCTTAGCCTGTGGCAGAAAAAATACATCTCGCTCTCTCATTGACCAAAATCAGAGCCCGGGGCCCTATGCTACACGGCAGGACTCAGCAGAACCGAAAGACAGAGACAACGTCGTCTGCTGCGATTGGTCACCGTTGCGTCGCTGGCCAGTCGCAGCAGACGGCGCTGTCCCGGTTCTGCTCGGTCCCATCGTGTAGCATAGGGCCCCAGAATTGCTTCTCAGCGGCCCGAGGCAGATTATGCCTAGGGCCGCTGAGGCAGCCACCCGTACACCTCCTAAAGGTAAAGCTGACGTATTCCTGGAATCGAGCCCTTATGTGAAGGGTGGGGACAGTCCTCTCACTTTTTAATATAAAATGGAGTGAACGGGTCTCATTAACCCTCCAAACAAAGATGCAGGGGGCAGATGTTTTTCTCATAAAAATAAAATATGTATTCTCATAACTTGATGGGAGTCGAAAAGCAGGCTTCTATCAAATTGTGACTAAGTATTTAATTTGTTACAATTGCGAGTTAGAAGATGTCGTCACCAGGCCGAGTGATTGCTTTAGAGTTGCCGTGAATGAAGCGAAGCTCTCGCAAAGACTGCCTTCCTTCTCGCTTTGCACAGTTATCAAGATTTTTTCATTCTTTTCCGAGCGGCGGTTGCTGAGGGAGAGTTGCGATCTGCCCCAGGTGACCAGCCCGCAGATCCTGGAGCAACACATCAGCAAGATCATCTCGGAGAACGCCGCCATCGTGGAGACACTGGACCCCCTGTGGACCAAGCGCTACATGCGCAGCACTGCGGGCGAGACCCCCAATGGGGGCCGCAAGTGGAGTCTGGACCCCGGCGGAACGCCCCGCAAGGGCGGACCCCGTAGGGTTTCGGAAGGCGCCGATCCGCGTGGCGGGAGCATCATCCGGGACCTCCTGCTCCGCGGCGAAGGAGGCGCCGCGACCGCTTCGGAGGGTGCCTGCCCCAAGTGCGGCATCTGGTTCCGCAGCGGCGCCACCCTCGAAGTCCACTTGGACCACTACTGCAAGGCGCCGAACCCGCCGCCCAAGAAGCGGAAGATCTCGGAGCCCCCGCTGAGCCGCGCCCCGCGGACGGAGGAGCCCCCGGCGGCAGCGCCCCGCCCCCAGCGGCCCACGTCCCTGGCCCTGGGCGCCTCCGCGCTGGTGGGCTCGACCCTGGTGAGCCCCGAGACGCCACGCCCCAAGAAGCACTGCCTGCAGCTGTATATCAACGGCCACGCCTACACCTACCTGGGGCTCAAGTGCTCGACGCGCTCGACATACTGCTGCATCTACCGGCCACAGCCCATGTACGTGGCACAGGAGGCCCACCCGGGGCTCTCCATGTACTCGGACTGGCGGCTGGTGCCCGCCGCGGCGCCCCTGCCCGGCGTGAGCCACCAGCAGCTGCTGTCCCACTACGACTCCCGCCAGTGGCTCCACGGGGGGCCCACGCTCAGCGCCTGCGGAGGCACCCCCCTCGTCACGCACTCGAGCTACTGGCTCTTCCGCAGCAGGGGCCCCCCCAAGGTGAGGCCCCCCCACGGAGTACCTTGGGTTGCTCTAGAACTGTAGTGGAAGGGACCGTGAAACCGGGTAGAAATTACCCTGGATTGTATATAAAGGTGAAACGAGGCACAAAATACTCGAGAAACGTAGTTGAAAGGTCAATGAAAGAAGGGACAATGTACTCTGAAACTGTAGGTGGAGGGGCCATGAAACTGGGCACATATTACTCCAGAAAGGTTTTTAAAGAGACCATGAATGTCTACCTGAAGTTGTTGTTGAAAGAACCACAAAACAGAGTATGAAGTACTCTGGAACTCAAGGAACAATGAAACAGGACGAGAAGCACTCTAGAAATGTTGTTAAGGGGATATTGAACAAGGCACAGAGTACTTCAGAAAAGTTGCTAAAGGGACCCTGAAATAGGCACAACATACTCCAGAAATCTGGTTCAAGGTACCATGAAACATGGCACGGACTACTTTTCAAATGTAATTGAAGGAATCGTGAGGCACAAACTACTCCGGCCTTAACCGCCCTGGACGAGCCTAACTCGTCATTGTGGAGCCGTCCCCAAACCGTTCAGGACAAGTATAGCTCGTCTGATTTTACCAGTTCACGCTCAACCGTCTTGGACGAACCAGGCTCGCACAGAGCTTAGTTTGTGGCTCTGCCGACAAATAGCAGCGCTGAATTTTTTTAAATTTATGACAAATTGCCAGGCAATTTTGTTGCATACGTGAAACGTTCTAGCATCACAAATATTTAGTGATACTTTCCAGACGCCAGATGCCTCCACTCACAACGCTCTTCATCAGATAGTTTAACGCATACCTTGCAAACACTTGATATTTGTTCCTAGAATGAAGCGACCTACCACTGACCGGGCTGTTAAACCTGGCGATCTTCCAGAGCCTTCCATACACTCAAGGTCCTCTCCCTCTGCACACAGCCGGTCGACCTCCTCTTCGCTCACCCCTTGGTCACATGACCAAGGGGTGTGAATGTTAGCGTCGAGCACCTCACTCCTTCTCTCCCACCCATCAACCAATCGGTGTCGAGCCTCGCGGCCACGTTTTTATCTGGGCTTCGGAAAGTGCTGAACACCTAGCCAAAGAATGTTTCACGTTACTTGCTCCTATTCCATTTGTGGCTAGAAGTATGATTTTGATGGCAACAAGTTTGATTTTGAAGAAAACAATTCATAAGCAGCTTAGGGTCAGAAATTTCCAAAAACTAAAAACGGTTAATGGGTGCCTCATGAAATGGGGCACAAAATACTCCAGAAGTATAGTTGAAGGAACCACTAACCAAATGCACAAGGTACTGTACTTCTAAAGGGCTCTTACGGGGCCACAAAATAAGTCGTAAGGTACTGAAATATAATTAAAGAAATCATGAAACTGGGCACTTTATACTTTATAAGTCTAGTCAAGGGGACCATGAAGGTAGACACAAAGTTCCTCAGAAATGTAGCTAAAACGACTATGAAGCAATTTACAAAGAGCTGCGGGGAAGTGGTTTGTAGACACGAAACAGTTAACAATGAAAACTGCCAACCCTTTCATGGTCTTTGTAACTTAGACAGAGAACTGGTTAAAAAACGAAGTCCACCACAAGCTTTGTGGATTGGAAAAGCCTTTCATTGTAGTGTCGTGAGGATGCAGGACTGGTGGATGACACCCAATTTCTGTTGAGGCACTCTCAGCAACCCTTAAATTAGCCGGTTGTCATGGGAACAGCCAGCTCAAACCATCAACACGGTGACGGACCGACCGATTGAGGCGAGAGGAGGCACACGAGGGAAAAGGCTGGCTTTAGTATCTGAAAGAGGCATTATGCGTTGACTCTAGGTAGCCCAACCAAACAGAGGGTCCATCAGGAAGCTGCGATCCCAGTTTTGTATGTTTCGGAAAGACGCCTGCGAGCACGTTGCCTAGTCTTGGAACTCGGGCAGCCTTGCCAGTTCCATCAGGTCATATCAGCTCTATGTAGGTATTGGGCAGGAGATCGAACTATAGGGGGCGCTCTGACCCGTTTGTTTTCCCTACGCTTGGTGTTTACTCATCACAAGGTCTGTGCACATGCAGACAGGCCTTATGGGAATGTTCATGTCATCTCCTACAATAGAGCGCGGGGCACAGTTTAATGTAAAAAATACTAACAATGGACGAAGCGACGTTAAGTGCCAAATCTATCCTCGGAGAATGCGAGCTTGACCCACTTTGGCTTTTGTGCTGAGCTGGGACCGTGCATGCTGCATTGTTCATGCAGGCCGTAGTGGAAACAAAAGAGCCCCTCCTCCCCCTCACCTGAGAACAGAAACTCCAGCCGAACGCTGACGCTGCGTTCGGTTATGTCGGCCGAGCGCTGAGTCATTGTATTTGTTGTCCCCATCCGTGTAGTTGTTAGGTTAACCGCTTGGGGCGTCACGGTCTGACCTCCTCCCCAATAGGGCATCTTGACAAACTGCCTTCTGGAAAGCCAGGTTGCTGGCATGCGCTCGCTATTTTCTCTAGTAGTTTGCAGGTGGAGTACCGCTTGTTCACGTGTTTCTAAGGGTCAGTAAGTCTCGGAAGCTGACAGACGACTTCGCTGGCTACCAGGCCAAATGCATTTAACTCAATATCCCGTCAGATGCCCCACCCCCGAAAGATAACCCGCCCCCTATTTTCAGCCTCATTTGCCGTTTTTCTTCAAAAACACCGAAAAAAAGCCCATTCGTAATAATCGCTGGGCCATCGATGACCTCGGCAGCCATGGCAGGAGATAAGCAAACACTGCTGACTGGGAAGGACAGTCGTCTTTGGTTCATCACCCCTCCCTGTGATTGCAAGTTTCGCACTGCAAAAAATCTCAAACGCATTTTTCTCAACTTTTTTGATTGCACACCGAAAGTTAGTCTAGTCTCTTTATTTTCACCCGATTGGCTTCCTATTTTAGGTGGACTATCTCGGGATATTACTGTAGGCCGCTTGCACCGCTGGTTTTTGTTTGTTCGGCCGACATAGGCAACTGCCGAAGCGTCGGCTCGTCTTATTATCGAGTGACGCACAGTACTCGCAATATGTGTATAGCAAATTGCTAGGCAATTGTGTTGCATATGTTATGTGAAGCGTTCTAGGCTCTAGCATCGCAGATGTTTACATCATTGTTTAGCTGCACGTCCAGCCTGTTCAGCCAGACGCCTATATTCACGGCGCTCTTCATCGGATAATTTAATGCGTGGCCCGTGTACATTTGAAATGATAAACCTGGTGATCTTCCAGAAGCTTCTAACCCAGGCCTCCTCTCCCTCCTCTTCTCGTTGCTCCAGGCCTGGTCACATGACCTCCCAGTCAACCAATCCGTTTCGAGCCTTGTGGCCACGCTTTTATCCAGGTTTTACTATTGGCTTCATGAAATGCCGAACACCTAGCCATAGAATGTTTCACATTAAAAAGGGAGATGCTTTTTGCACTGGTCAGTGACACCAGCTGGCACAGTCTGCTCGGGTGAGCTGGAATCTCTGCCTGCACAGAAAGAAAGACACGTAACTATCACTCGCATAGATGGATTCTTGTGGGAGCCGGAAGTACAAAGCAGCCCTAGACGTGCCCCACTGTTGTTATCTTTGAGGTGGGGCCAGAGGCTTCCTTGGAAATTCGCTCCTCTGTAGCGTTGCTGTTCCCCAATCCAAAGCTAACCTGAAAAGAAACATGGAACTCGCATAATGGGCCGCTTTTTGAAAAAAAGGGACTCCATTGGGAAAAAGTTGTATGCATGTTGCCATCAATGTTTTGTCAAAGACTAGCCCATGTACATAAACTGGTTCCTGCTACATGCATTTTGAATGCCAAGATTTTTTTTTCTTGCGTAGGCAAGGTTGTAAAATTGTTTTATGGTACCTAAAAGTGTCCAAGTACCAGGCTAACTAGAAACTCGTTAGGCTATCAGTTGCTCAGCTATGAAAAGTACAGGGGCAGAGCCCTTCTAGCAGATAACATAACATAGAATACTGCACATCCGCCTTGTCCACATTAAGTGCCCATTCCCAAATTTGGAAGATCTGAGGACATATGCCCAGCACATTTATACGTAAAATTGATCAGACAAGCGCCCATCCCCCATTCTCTCACGATTATTTCTAAATTTTGAGTGGGGGCTTGCCCGGTGTTTTATGGTATAATCAAACTAGTGTTGCTGCAAACATTTCTAACAGACTCAAAATGTTGAGTCAGGGTCACTGTGCAATATTGCAGGCTATTTAAAAAAATGCTACAGATACCACCAATTGATTTCGCACCACCGAGGTGTTCAGTATTGGTGGTTTCTTGCAAAAAGTAAATTTGGTGCTTCGAAGTTCCTCGATGTTTGGTCATACCAAACAACCAACACCTCAAATCAACAAAAGCTACAGCCACATTCGTCTTCAGTTTCACTGCAGCTCAAAGATGGTGTCACACGATGCACCTTTTTCCCGTGGAGGCATGCCTGTGAAAGTGGGTGTTTAGTGAGTGGTGTCGCCACGGACTTCGAGCCTTGCAGGTTCGCCCGCCCACACCTGGCTGTGTGTGTCTTTCCCGTATTTGGAGAAAAGGGAATCCTGGTGGTTTAGCCAAGCCTGTGGTAGGTTTAGACCCTTTGGGGATTCCCGGGTGAGGCAATACACCACTTTGGCCCCCCGCCTCTCGTAGACGGATGTCCTGGCTTGGTTCGACCGGGATGATTTAGTCAGTCACCTCTCTTCTCCTGTCCTACCTTTTCTCTCTTTCTGCCCTTTTTTCCTATTTCACCTTCTTAGGCGGCAAAGGCTAACCTCGGGTGGCGACAGAACTCTCTCTTAATCCACACTTGGTTATAGCATCCTGGTAGCACTGGTAGAGCAACATACTCCGTCAAGCCAGACCTGTTATGAGATGTTACCTATCCCCTTGTGGGACTCCATGGTGGGTGGTGTGCTACAGATGCCGAAGTGTCTGCCCTTCATATGGGTTCTAAACTAGAAACCTTTTCCGATCGAACTTTGAGAAGTGTTCGGTCCA